GAGAGAGAGAGAGAGAGAGAGAGAGAGAGAGAGAGAGAGAGAGAGAGTACTACCAAATCTCCTCAAAGTGAGTTTTATAAATTTATGAAATTATTGAAGGAAAAAATCTTGAATTGTTCTTATTGTTTTTAGAATGTACTTGTTTCTTGATTAAGGTATTTATTTTTTGGCTTTATTTACTGCGGATTCCACATCTTTATTATCGTTATTGTTAGAGTTAATTAAACTAACAGAATCTTGTCTTGTTATATTGATAAGTTTTTTCTTGCTTTCCAGATTAATTAAAATTGTTTTCTTTTCTTAATAATTTAAATAATTTTAACAAGAAATTATTAAGTGTACAAATTAGTTCGGTACGTTTTTTTGTGTTCAAAAATGCATTTATTTTAAAACAAAATGATTGAACAGATTAATTAAAGTATTGTCCATTGCTGGCTACTACTTTTTCCTATCTCTCAGGCAATTTTCGAATTCCATCTCGAAAAAATGACTCGTCTTTGGAGGCGATCATCTTTTGGAAAATGGACCGAACTAATTTGTACTCCCAATAATATATTTAAATCACTAAAATTAAAAAATATATTTAATGTATCTATAATAGTGACGAGTAAAGTTGTCTGTAATATTTTTGTAATAGCCCCATAAATAGGATACAAAGTGGCTTCATAGTGCTTTGTATCCTATTAATGATGATGATAGGATTATTTACGTACGTACTATGGATGATGGTACATTAAAGGTAAAGAGAATAATATTATAGGTGTTTTTGGAAAGAGATAGGGAATTAGGTAAACTGATGATATAATAGTTGTTTTCCATTTTTTCTTTTTTTAAAAAAAGGTTTTTTTATGGGATTTCACTGCTTTTTGTTAATTATGAAAACGTGATAATAATGTAGGAAATTTAAATCCTGTAAAAATAAATACAGATTCTGTTTCTAAAATAGTTATTTTGTAAATTTCTGTTTATTTAATATTAAACAAGATTCTATTATCGAAGAATAATACCTATATCTTTTACGGACGATCCTCCGATAAATGTAGCTGCCATGATTTCAATTGCGAAGTTGCCGCATCTTCCATAAATGCCATCATATTTTCGTCATAATAGTTTCACGATCGATCGCAGTTTCGGTGCGATTGCGATAACACCAGAACTGCGATTTCGACGCAGGCGTGCGTTAGGCAGTATCTCACGATAAAATAAATTTCTTTTCATGGCGGGACATCGACCTTCCACCCATAGAAGTACAAAAAGCTCAGGCGAAGACAGGTATGTGACAGTTTGTATCTGATATCTTCGTGCCTTCATCCTCGATCGTGCGACAAAAGACTCGCCCTTGATTGGAGAAGGATGCATGAAGGAAAATCGTTAATGTTGCAATGAATAGTGTAACGTGATAGTAATACAGTATGTATGAACACGAATGCGTTTTTGTTCGCAGGGAGACGGCACGTTCGAGATGAATGCCGGAGAAGTGGTAAGTTAACTCACGAAAAAGCATCCGTTTCTCTCACGAATGCTAGTTACTGTAATATACGATAACGTCCGGTTTGTAAAAAAAAAAATAAAAATACGGCGGACAATATTACTTCGCTTCCGTGTTGTCTGTTCGAGCGGGTTTTAAATTTTCGGTCGCGCCATTGCGACATCGACTTTGTGCTCCGTTATGTCCGCGTTTTATGTGTTATGTAACCTTTTGCGGCACGATTTATGGGGATTATAAAGCAAATTCGCTCAAAGCCGTAAAAATTGTCGAACAAAATCCGTTTTTTCTCCTCGATTTTATGATACATTCAGCCATGTCGGAATTTTTAGGAAAATAAAATGCAACAATAATTTACTTTTTTATAATTATTTTTTTATTATAATTTTCAATTAAAGTTAAAATCATTTCTTTTTTATATCAAATTTATTGGACCGTGAAAATTTAAACCAAATGAATACCGATGAGAACATGCCGTAATGATTAAGCTAGATCTCGGGTGCTAGATAATCTAGTGAATTATGAGAAATTCTGTATTATATTATATATAAGACGCGTGTTCAGGTTCCCACCCAAGTGGTTCTCAGACATCATTTTATTCTTGTTTAATATTCGGTGAACAAAAATAAAATGATCTTTAGATTTTAGATAACACTCGGATGGGAATCTAAACATAGTCTTGTACGGTGCAATTTTAGTGGTTATTAATAATAGCTGCATTGAACAGAAAAAGCAGCTCTGTAACTGCAGTTGGTAGATTCTTTAATGTGATTGGTTTAAATACAGTGAGGAATTAAAAACAAGACCAATCACATTAAAGGATTTTACAACAATTGCAAAGAGAGGAAGAAAGCTGCTTGTTTTCCTGAACGCGCCTATTGAATCGTATGTGATATAAGACGAAAAATCACATTGTGTGCCTCTGATTTAAGTGTCGATAATATTTAATTCGTGATATTATTGATGCACAGATAATGGACCCGCCCGGACCCCCAGGACCTGCTGGTATTCCTGGACTGCAGGGCCCACCCGGAATCAAGGGTGACAGAGGACACGATGGCACCAAAAGGCGATCCTGTCAGTAACCATTACCTATCTGTTGTCCGCGTGTATAGAATATGAAAGCAGTTATGCGCGTTCGCGTTCGCGCGATGGGAAACGAATGTTGATTTCTCTCTTTGAGATTGCAGACATCGAATAACAAAATCGATCTGTTTGCATCGTTTAGTTTTGTTCGCAAAACCATCGCGAAAAACCTTTTATACATCAAGCTTTATATTTTTATTTATCTCCGTCATACTATCGCTGAATTTAGGGAATGTAACAACTACATACAACGAGTCCGGTTATGATCGCAATAATAAATAGCGTTATTTTTTCACGTTTATTAGTTTAGTCCGTGCTGCAGCGAACAAAAGTTTACAACGCGCTAACTAACAGGATTAAAAAAAAATCATTCTCTTTTGTACATTTTAACTTCCTCTTTTTTATACTATATGTATAGTGACGATATGAAAAGTAAATTACAGTCGAGAAAGATGTTCGTTCTGATCGCAAAATAATAGGAGACAAAAAGGGCCGCAGACGTAGTTGAGAACCCTTCGTACGCGAGAAAGATCGCGTTTGCGATGTGACTCCCGAGGCGTGAAGCTATTCACGCCGGTGATCTTTGAGATCACCTTTTTGCGTACGCGACACCATCGCGATGCGGACAAGCCCGTTCTCACGCGTCGCTCTTTCTTTTTTCACGTTACAGGGAGAAAAGGGTGCCAAAGGGGATCCTGGTCCGATGGGACTGCCCGACGCCCGTACGTATTTTCTCTCCAGATTACACGCAGCATGCACTCAAACACACGCACACATGTGTAGCCTTAAGCGCGCTCTAAAAAGAAATGCGGATACAGGACGCACAAAGGCAGATAGAACGCAGACGGGACCCCCCGAACGTTCTCGGAAAAAAAAACTGTCCTGTGTCCTTTGGTTTTTCTGCAAAAAAATCTGCAAGATATATTGATGAAGGGGAAAAAGGGAGAAAGAAACAGAAGGGAATAAAAATTAAGACTCCCGATCAGACTACCCTTTTGCGGTAGAAGTTAAAGTATAAATATAAAAACAAAATTCATATCGAGGTACAGGTATCGCGTTAAAAATTTTTCCTGATTACTCGTTGCTGGCGTCAGGATAGCTTCATCAGGAACATCGATAACGTCTCTCATCATCCAACACTGCTCGATCAGGACGCGAACGTTGATAAAAACGTTGATTGACAATTAAATTCGCTAAAAGCGGCTTCTCGCGCAGAGTACAGCTGGATGCGTTCTAAATCATCATCGCTTGCATAAAGCTTGCATAAAGAAGCAGCAGCAGTCGAGGCGTGGCAGCGAAAGAGGGAGAACGGTGGACAAGTGTATTTTGGCTCCCTTTTATATTCGGCAAGCACCTTTTACGAGAATCGTGGGAAATGTCGGTGATATCGCGCGTGAGCATCGGTCGCGAGAAAATTTCATGTTCGCCGAACAGTAGTAAAACCGTTTAGTACAGTAAAATTAGACATAAAAAAGGAGTTATCTCGGAAAGTGAAGCGTAATTCACACACGGCCTTGTGTGTGAATACGGACAAAGAAGAAGAAAAAGAAGAAGAAGACGTTTCTTAATTTTTCATTAAAATCATCACTTTTCGACAGCTTGTATCTTCAGAATGGCTTGACCGATTTTAAATCTTTTAATTAATTGATGTATGAATAAATAAAAGTAAGTGCTAGATATGTTACACTTATTTCATTTTCTGTTTCGTCTGTTTATTCTAATTTCTGACGGATGAAACGCATGTTCTAATCATACTGTTTTAATCATACTGTTCTAATCATAATATTTTCTATGTTTAGAATGGTGACTGTCTGAAGAAAAAGGTTAGATCTTCTGATTTTTAGTCAGAAGAATTTTTCTGGTCATTCGCCAGGTAATGACATTGCAGATTTATCAAACGCATACGCTCATGCACGCATTCTCTCTCTCTCTCTCTCTCTCTCTCTCTCTCTCTCTCTCTCTCTCTCTCTCTCACTGTCTCTCTCGCGCGCGCACTATACTACACGTATACATACGATATTGACATTCAATATTGTTATATTAATAATAATTAATTTACAGTCGACGCCCCACAGGAGGATTCTTTTATCGAAGTGGAATTTTCTATTGAGGGATGATTAGTACTTCACCCTTTTAATACTCTTAATAATAATTAAGCAACAAAATTATAAACTCCATAATAATAATAATAATAATTATTATTATTATGTTATTCTTATTATTATTATGTTATTCTTTTTTTTGTAATAGTAATTATTATTATTATTATTATGTTATTCTTTTTTTTGTAATAGAATAAATTATTAATAAACAACTCATGTGCATCGTTTTTGTGTTATAGGGAAAAAGGAAAAATCATTCCCTCGGAGACGATGGCATTAGTAGAAGAAGAAATTATAAGCATATCTGTGACGATGCAACCCCCATCGTCCACGGTATTAATAACCGGCCGGACGCCGCTGCATCGCCACGCGGTGCAGCGATGAGGGCGCATAGCGCCCGATAAAGCAATAAAGCATAATATGGTCTTATTTGTAAAAATTAAACTGTGTAAAAAAATTATAATTAAATACTTTATAAGTTTTTTATTAACTTAAAAATAATTTAAAATGATATTAATAATAGGATTTTTTTATTAAAAACGATTAAAAATGCTAAAAAAAAGAGTGGGAAGTGAACGCAATACGATTGGCCATGACGTCACGATTCAGCAGAGCCCGGTAAGTTTAAACGTTGTAAATACATACTTCATGTAAATGACACATACATAAGATAAATAAACAAAACAAATATGATATTTAACGGATCATGCGAATTACTAAGTAAACAGTTACAACATGGCGAGAAATATTACAGGTTTTGTTAAAGCTCAATCGGATAATTTA